AAATATGCGTAAACTTTTAAAAAACAATTGCAGATACGTTGACGTAATCTCATACGCAGTATTCGATTATGATAAACAAATAACTAGTTATTAATTTTTGTTCTATACAATTAGACTTTGCTAATTTGGTATTTTTTTAAGGTTAGGTTTAAAAGTAATTGCAAATTATAGATAAAAATTATTTACTAATTGTGCAGTTTTTAACTTTCAAAAGTGTAAGTTAGACTGAAAGTATAAGTTAGATTGATTTGAGAACAGTCAAATAATAAACTTAAAAATGTGGTCACAGGTTAGAAGAAAATAAAAGCAGACTTCAGTAGGCTGGCTTGAAAATGGTAAGAAATCATTATATGTATCAAATGCATTTTTTATTCTTAGTCAGAGTTCATTCGAGTAGTCAAATGAAGTAATCAAATGAACTCTGACCGGAATCGACGTTGAAGTTTTGAACTCACTGTTTTTTACTCTAACCACAAATTTAGCTTTACTTTGGCTAGTTTTATTATTTCTTAAGGCAATTTATGCTACTAAATGCAATCTTATAAAAACTATTTCAAGAATAAATAAAATTGTATTCAAACAGAAATATAGAATAATTTGTTAGAAATGCTTGTTTTTACAAAATCATAATTGTCAAACTCTTTTTTTAATTTGTTAATTTGTCAGTATATATTAAGATTAGTTACTTCCATGCTATAAGTAAATATAAAATAATATCATATCGTTTTGTAAACGAGTGAAACTTTGAGGGAAGGATCAATTTCAAAATCCAATTGGTATTGGCTTTCAGGGATTTCAGTACGGATCAAAAGGCCAGATATTGTCCAATCCAGGAATGATTTTAGAAAGAGGACCTGTGCTGCTCTGATAATCAATTTGATATTAATTAAAATAATCAGTGCTTGGTTTAAGTAAATTATTTCAAATAATATTAAGCTAAATTAGTTTTTTAGTTACTAATTCGATTATAATGTCAAGTTATTGACTGGATGTCAGTCTGCTCAAGCAATGACAGTAATTAGCTGAGCAGAAAATGTATTTCATTCTTTTTGTTTTATTTTTGTAATGTAACGCTTATTTTATTGTGTACATATCATATCAGATACATACTTATTATCATCAAATTCGTTGAAACACTGATAAAATGAGCAAAAAAGTTATCAAAGTTCGTTGCTGCAAAAATTATAAACTGATAATAATGGAATTATCAGCATGAATAAAAAGACATGGAGCATATTATTCGATAGATCTGAATGATAAAAACAAACAAGAATTGTGGGCCTTAAGAAGTATCAAAGTAAGTAGTAAACAATAAATTACAAAAGCAAAACAGTACAAATGCAATGGCAGTTATATTTTCAACTTCAGTAAGAATTTGAAATAATTAGTATTCAAATATGAGTTTTTGATCATGAATTGAAATTGAAATCAGAAATTACAATATGAACCAATGCATAAGTAAAAGAATTATTAGATTTAAAAATGCTAGCAAATCGAAAACAATTCACACATGTAGTATTACCTGAGGCTAGAATGAAAAATATGATTATAAAAAAACAATAAATTAAAGTCAAAAGCTAAAAAACAAATTAAAATGTCAAACAAAGCATGAAAACTTGTATAAGCAATTTAAAAAATTAGCATAATTGATGATTAAGAGTTATTACAAGTATTATATTTTGTTTCTAGACAATAATTATAGTTATTGTTCTAATTTAAATTCTGATGTTGTTTACTTGACATTATTATGAATAACACAATGAAAATAATGCAATTCTGAAGTAAAAGTAAAAATCTTTAAAAACTGAAAAAACAATTTAACAAATTTTAACAATAAAATAGACTTGCAAAAAAATGATGGATTTTTGCAGGTTTTTGTGACTTATTTTTGATAACTGCGTAAATAATTACGTGACACACGGTAAAAGTGGCAAACTGAGCAAAGTTGATTACTTAGTTGCGTCAAATGCACTTCACAAGAAGCATTATGCCATGACTCATTAAGAGATAAAGTAAATAAAATATTTATGTAGCACACAAATTGTAGATTAAAAATATTGTAATATTGTAAAATTGTTAACCATTGGCTTCTTGCTAATGAAGGAATTAGAAGTGATATTCAGAATCATGGCATATATAATACTGCAATAATATACTTAAAATTTCTTATCTCGGGAATAACGTGATGGTTGAGTCCGGTATACAGGCGTTGAGTAATAGAGCATAGGCTGCGCAACGCAAGAAGATGAAGTCGAAATTGACTTTGTATTATTTGAAGTATTACTTGGAGTAGTTTGTCGTAAATCTCCATTGATAAGGTACTGCTTCCAGTTTGAGCGAAGTTCCATTACGGGTTCACGTTCCTGTTAAATTTTTTCTCACTTATCATAACTTTATTTAATTTAATTGATAAGTGCAAAAGTATTAATAAAAATTTTAAACTTTTTAAATAATTTACTAACTGTCCGTTCATCTCCTCGTAAATTAAATCGTGAAATGGATGAATGTGATTGCCGTCTTTCTGCTTTTCGTCCTTCACATCGTCTGGACTGTGCTGGCGATTCTGTTACATTTAATGACTAAAATTATGAACTAAAGTTTGTCACTTATATTTTGGTAATTTTAATCAAAAACTTGCATAATAAATATATAACAAATTAGTCTACAAAAGTTCCTTCAAGAAATCTAAATTACAAAAGAATTTATTACTAAGACATCATTTATTATATGCAGATAATATTGTAAGCACAAGTATTATAATCTATTAACATTAATACTTATTAAGTAGTACAGGAAGATGATAATAAGTGCATATTACTATTTATTACACACATATTATTGTATTCAAAAGTAGTAAATTATCATTACACGTATACAGTGCAAAAATAATAACTGCTGTACATTACTATTTATTATATGCATATATTAGTGTACAGAAAAGTACTACCTTATTGCTCAATGTGGTGCGAAAAATAATAATTGCTGATAATATAGCAAAAATTAATAAAAGATATATTGGGAATCATACCGGAGAAGGTGGTTCTTCATAAATTGATTCTCCACCATTTGATGAATCCTCCGTGGTTTTTCGTCTTCGTTCACTTCTTGTTGTTTCACGGCTAAGTAAAGTTAAACGTGGCGATGACGGCGAACTAACAGATTTCTACAACAAAAATCATGTAAATAAATGTATCGTATATTTATCACAAAAATCGCTTCTATTGCGTTTTAAATGAAAACGAAAATAATGTTTTCGATTAGCAATACTCCATTTTATAAATGCAATTTCATCTCATACAATTTTTAAGAAAAATTATCGCAGTAAATTATTCATTTTCTTTATTTTAATGCAAGTAAGAATCTTCGAAGCAATTAATCATTTTAAAAAAATTTGTAAAACATTTATTTTTAGAAATAATCAAACGTCTCTAAAAACAAAAAATTTTCACTAACCTCATTACCATTTTCACGTCTTCGATTTTTATACGACTGACAGTTTTCAATGGTAGTAATATGATTAGATTGGTATGGAAGTACGTCAGGTACCAAAATGGGTGCGACGGTAGTAGCAGCTACCGGAATATAACCTGCTGTAGCAGTAGGTAGTAACATGCCACGTGTAGTAGTTGGTGGCATCGTAAGTGCATATGAATATCGTCTAGAATATAGCAATTATCGCTTGTTAATTAATGATATTTCATTTAGTGTGCAATTAATACAGTAATACATCACAAAAAATTATTTTTGTGATAACTAGAGATACAATATTGTAATTAAGTTCTCAATTAACTTACCTGAATAATAATATTGCAAAAAACAACAGCATTTGAAAAGATTATTTGATTTTGACTTAATTAATATTGAATTAAATAATATTAATCACATTGATTCATAACAAAATTAAGATTTAAAATGATTTCACTTTATTAAAATTGCGTGGAAATTATAATTCAAGAATTCTTTCAGTAAAAAAATCTTTTTTTTAATTGACTGAACAATTGAAACACAAAATATTTTTCAGAAAGTAATCAGCTATATATTTGATTTGAAATTTTTTTTTTCAAAATTGTACTGCAATAAAACTTGACATTTTTATTCATTTGTTAGCTGATATTATTTTTTGTCTTCTTTAAATTTATAAACTTATGTTGAAAAATTGTGAATAAAATTATTAACGGGAAATTAACGTGAACCTCGTTAAACCATTCAGTTGCTGTGAACCATTGCGACTCGCAGTTGGAATGTAATAAATACTGCCAGAATCCTCTTCAATATCAAAACAATAACAACAACATTCATCGCAAATATCTTGCAGTGATGCACAAAATGATGGAATTTGTTCAGTTAGAAATATCATAACACTGAAAAAATTTACAAAATAACTGAATTGTATTTGCATTTTAATTACATACAAAATTATTAATCAAATAATAAGCGATTGTTTTCACCTTTGAGTATTTGCTTAGCTGATAAATTTTCAAAAATATCTCGCCTTCAACAACTTTCAAAATAAATTATAAAAGGAATTCAATTGAAGATATGAATAAATTTAAAATTTTGCCTAAATAAAAGGTAGTATTTGGGTAAAATTCGTTTTATAACTCACTTATTTATTCAACAAAAACAAAATTATAACAATTAGATTAATAAATTTGCACTGCATTGATTTATCGACAGTTTTGCAGATTAATATTGAACTATTTTAATCATGATAACAATCACTGCTATCAGTAATGAGTAAAAACAAAATTTACTTGGGAAGGAAAAATAAGTAATGAATATAAGTAATGAGCGAAGTAAGCGTCAATATTTTAAAAATATGCATAACTGCTGGTAATCCTGACAGTAACAACGGTATATAAGTCAAAATTGGCACAAAACATGCCAGTGTGATAGGTAACAAGCATGACTAAAAATTAACATATTTGTAAATATATTCATAGTAAATAAAACAAACTTGACTATAAAAATTTCGACTAGAATAGCTTAAATTTTAACTATCAATTAAACATTTTCAATTCATATTCTTTTTTATCTAAATAAAAATGCTCGAAAAATATTTTAATTTGAAAAATTTGCAAGAATAATCGGTAAATTTATATATCAATACTTAAGTAATATTCAAAAAATACTTAAGTAATATTTAGTATAGTTAATTTGTTAGGTTGCTTCTGTGATTCAAAATTTTATGAAAAAAAAGATCGAGCCTGAAAAGAGTATCGAACACGCTGTTCACCAGTTTTCTGCATTTTTCCAGCAGTTGCAAAGTTATAGCAGAAATATGAAACAATAGTAGTTGTGAGAGCATTACCTGAAAATGTTTGCATTACGTGAAGACTGCACGTAAGGTTAACTTCAAATGGATTTTCTTGCAAATCTTAAAGATAGTAAAATAGTAAAAGTTGAGCAGTATTTATGGTACGTACATAATAATTTAACACTACAATGAATGCAACAAAATAAATACAGTAATTTACAGTGAGAATAATGTCTAAGTTTGAAGATTTTAATTTTACTTTTTTTGAAATAATAAAAAAATAAGTGACTATATACCTGCCAAAGCTAAGGACAAAGTAATAATATTAATTGGAACCGTCCAGTAAGTGGCAAATCCGACCACTCCGATAATAACTGACAAATTTGATAAAAGTACTAGTACTGTTAGGGATGGTATTCCAAAAAGAAACAACGATAAGGTACAAACACAACAGAGAAGTAAACTAAATGCTATAATTACTGTAGACATCACCTGAAATTCAATTCAAGCATTCTACAGTAAAGCGGATTACAGCAAGATTATTTTCTTGAAGACAAGATTTTCATAGCTAAGACAAGTATTTCATTGTTTGAATGCATGATAAACTGATTGATCTAAGTCAGAGCAAGGATGAAGAAAAAGATGCTGATTTAGAATTAAAATTGAATTTGAAGTCACACGGAGTTATTATTTATCATTTTTTTAAACTTGATATTCATTTACTGTAGAAATTAAAGTATTAAATTTGATATATATATATAATTAAAATTAAATAAGCAAACAATTTAAAATCAAGAAAAGCATTAAAAAAATATAAATAATGCAAAATCAGTTTAGAAAATGAAAAATTTGCATATTATTACTTGTAGATCATGCTGAATTGAGAATGCAAATGGCGTTTTCACAATTAATGATAAACCAACGGATCGAGCTTTACTCAATAAGCCATCAATAAGTAAAAGCCTGAAAAACAATAAAAGGATACTTTTAGTGATTTGAAAAGTGTTAAAACTTTTTATTTGATAAAAGAAGTAAAATTAATGAGCAAACCTTTCTTCAACACCTTTGGGACTGAGCTCCACGTACATTCTTGAAGCAATGATACGCGTTTGAAATTTGTCAAAAATTATATCATTTTGATATTTTTTGTAGTTTTCAGCGGTCAAAAATACAATACCAATAATTGGTACGAATGTGTCCTTTAAAGGCAACAACACAAAAAGATTAGTCTAATGATAGAAGCCTATTTTTTTTGAGTTCATACTTAAACATAATTATTTCAAGATTGAATTTTATATACTGAATCAAAAAGTAATTCAAAGTTAAAAAATTACGTATACTCCCACATTAAATTCGTAAGAAGTGAAAAATTGTATGAAAAAATCTAAATTTATACTAATTGTAACGAAAAAATAATAAGAATCAAAATGAAATAATTTTAGTCTGAAAAGTATTCAATTCATAATTTTTGTTCATTTGAATCAACATTTAGTTTGAAGTAATGATTAATTTTAAAGCTACAAAATTGTGTACTAATGCTATTCATTATAAATTTACCGGATTTATATCATAAATGGTTGAGCTTTCAAATCGACTAAAATCTTTCAGCCAACTTACTGATCGTGTAGCCAGCTGATTTTGCTAAAATAAATACTTCTAAGACAATCAAACTTCTTGTAATATAACCAGTTGACATGCTACTTCTCATGATTCCGTTTATATTGAATAAAAAACAATAATATATAAAATAGTTATTTCAAATAAGACAAATGCAATAAAAAAGTGAAATTTAATGCACAGAAGTGAGAAATACTCTATAAAATAAACGTTATTGATGATCTATGGAATTAAAAATAGTAATAAAACTAACAACTGGCCATTCTATAATCGACAGAATATCTTCTTTTCGTTGTGGATCAAAATAGTCGATAGGTTCATCGAAAACCAACTCGAGATATTCTTCATAACGACCGAATTCTCGACGATAGTTTTGCATAAATACTTGTGGTTGACTGTCCTCAGGTAAGAAATATTCTTCTTTCAGGTCTATTCTAAACTTTTCTTTGAAAATAAAATTCGAAAGTAAGAAAAGTATTATGAAAAAAGTGCTCATCAAAGTTAGCTCCTATTATGCTTGAATTCGATTGCTTTTTTAAATTTCCATTAGTGTAATTGTTAATGAAGTTTTGTTATTATTATTGAAATTATTATTACTATTGAAATTTTTATCATTATTGAAATTATTGTTATTATTGAAATTAATAATAATAATAATAATATTGTTATTATATAGACAAACGTCTGTCCACAAAAATTGGCTTTTATTACATTTGAAGTTAATCTGTTTATCGTGCCAAACTTAAATTGCTATATTATATTATTTACTGATTTTCTATTATTACATATAACGTTATAGTTATTTACATAATATCATAATCATATAATATAAACTATCCCAATAACATGCTATTTTAACCAAAGACAGTATTACATATATTGAAAGAAGTATACATTTGTCATTTGTTTACTATTATTATTATACATCACTTTTCACTACAAAATTAGATTATGTTCTGAAATGAGTTATATATTAGAAAATCCATTTATTCCAAAAGTATTTTGCATAAAAAAATCAAATAAAATCTGAAACTAACTTAATATTTAAATTTATAATTTGCAAATTTAAAATCATACCGAACATCTTTGCAGCCCCAAAAAGCAAGAACTAAATAAATAGCAAAGACAAAAGCAACTGGACATCTAAGGTATGAAATGGACATTGCAGTGGCAATTGCTCTTGAAAATGATGGCTTAGAATCTATTAGCTTTTCATGAAGTATTTCAATATTGGCATCAGTGAATTCATTAAATGTTTGGGCTGGAAACAATAGAAGCCAAATTATTTTGATCAAATTCGATACACATGTAAATAATAAATTGTATTCAGCTAACTTCTTTTCTATTTTAATTTTTTTCATTAAATCAATTTAAGTCTTAAAAAATTCGAATTAAGAAGTTATTTCTGGTTTTTTAGCTTAAGTAAAGTTAAAAATTAGTATTTACTAGTTTGCCACCAGTTTCTCTTTTAAATTAAAACCGGCAAAAAACTTGCTTTTTTTAATCGCTGAGACATTTTATGTAAATTTATAAATGTATTTAGTTCAGCATTTTAGTAGTAAAAATAAACTGAAACTTTTCAGTAATTTGAAGTCAAATTTAAATCATAATTATTATCTTTTTTTTTTTAAAAATACAGTGAACAAAACACTTTTTTATGATGGTGCGAATTCACAGTAATAAATTAAAGCAAGAAAATTTTTGCTGATAAATAATTAGTTATTTTGCTGTCATTTGAATTCAAATGATTTTGAAGAGTTTCTTAGAATGTCTTGTTTTAATAATTTTTTTACTTGCAGCGTAAAAAAACTAACGTGCGAAATGCGTGTCACCAGAGCGAAAGCATTGATACCATTTAACTCCTTTAGTTTCACGTCGACCTGTCACGTATAAAAACACGGAAAAAAAGAGTAGAGCAAAAATAAGTAAAACTGCAACGCCTGCTGATAACACAAATGACAGATATTGCAAATATGGACTTTTTGTCGTTGAACCAATTAAGGCTGAAAAATTGTTCAAATTTTAGTTTATAAATATTTTAATAAAACATCGATGATTGCATATAATTTTGAACTATCCATGGAGAAGTGAATGAAATATCAAGTAAAAAATACAATATTATCAAAGCAGTCCTTACAATCAAAATAAATAGTATGTAAACAAGGAAAAATTCTGATTTTGTTTAAAATTTGCTGCTTTTCGTTAGCATTTAATAATTTAATGTTTTCAGCTATTAGTACAAAACTACTGATAAATACCATAAAACATATTATATTGTTTGATAATGAATTATGAAGGAAGTTTTAAAAATTTTTGTAAACATTTCTCTTGTAAAACTTGAAATTCAATTATTCTAAGCGTTTCTTTTTTAAATTAGTTTATTCAAATTTTGCAAAAAATAACTAAAGTATTTTCAATACTGAAAAATAAGATAAACAAGACTAATAAAGCAAGAAAATTATCAAAAAATACGTAAGTAAGTCAAATACTATCAAGTATGTCATTTTGAATAAATACTTTTTGTTGTTAAGGGACTTCTGGTAAACTTCTAAAAACATTTTCAAAGTTTTAGCTAAAAATTTTGCAGATATTTGAAAAATCAAAGCGCATTTATAACATTTTTTTAACTTTAATCTCAATAAGTGAAACTTTTTTAAGTCTAAAATGAGTATTCCTAAAAAAGTTAAGATTTAAATCATAGGAACTATTTTTGTAGATGACTTTAGATTTTGAAATCTATTGTGTATATTTAATTTTTAAAAATTCTTAAAATAATTACTTGACTAAGAAGTTACCGAAAGAAATAATAATAATAAGTGCAGTAACAGCAGTACACGGAGCATCCCAACTTAGAATCAAAGATAGCTTTTCAGTTGGATCACATGCTACGTTTGAATACTTTGACCACGTGTTTTCTAACGTAAATAACGCTAATAAGCCAATACCTGAATTTTTAATTTTCTTTTTTTCAAATAAACAACAAAAAATTTTGTGACTAAGTAAAAATATATCCAAAAATATTTCAAAAAAAAATATTTTTCTTTCCATGCATACAATAAAATAACAAAAGCAATTTTGCTTAATGTATGGTTTTAATTTTATGAATTTTCTCAAATAATTTTCATTTACAACCATTCAAAGGTTGTACTTCAGATTTTCAAGGACAAACATGTAATTATAAAAGAAAGTATTACCAATCAGAATGAAAAAAACGGGAAAAACGATAGCATTGACATAACCTACACCGGTAAGTTGAACGAAGAAACCAGCAAGGCAAGAAACGAGCAAAATTAGCCCAATAACTGATCCCAAAATTGGCTTACTCTACAAATTTAATACCGGAAATATACATGTGTATAGGAATGTTTAATTTTAAAATTATGCAAATATATCATAAAAATTACTTTAATATTTTTAGACTCATTAAATAATTTTAAAAACATTAAAATAATTTTGAATTACAAACAATCAGAATAAAAACTAAAATTTGCTAAAAATTCTTTCTTATTCAGCTTCTGTAAAATGCAAAAAAGTTGCTGAAAGGATGTAATCTGTTTAATATTACACTGAAAAAAGTGAAAACAAAAATAAAACAATGTTGAATTATTTTAACACTTTTTTTCTCATTTCTGTGACCTTTAAAAACGATTATTTTAATCATAATATAACTATTTTATGATATTTTCCCAAACGATTAGTCACTCAAAAATATGCATATGAATAATCACATTGATTTCGAATCAGAAAAATAATAATTAAGAAAAATGTTTTATATTTATTTCATAAAAAACATATTTATTTAATTATGTAAACACGTAAAAATTACGACAAATATTTTTTTAAATCAAAAATAACTGATTTGAAACTTTAATGCGTTCAAAATTTTATAAAATACTTAAAAACACAAAATGAATAAAAAATTCGGTTTCACTTTTAGTTTTTTGTGAATGTAAAATTATTTATGAAACGTAAAAATAACAAAAAAATGAAAATTTATCATACAAAACATTTTTGTGTTTTGTCAACTTAACCGCAAGTTATAAAAATTCAAATTTTTGTTAACGTCTATAATAATACCTGATATCCATTAACCCCAAAACTTGCAATTAAGCAAGCGAACAACAGAATCGCTGCAGATGCAAATAATAAGCAGTGCACTCTGCGCAATCCCATAATGACGGAATCAATAAATTCTCGGTAAGACCACCAATTAAGATTTACATTTAAGGTATTCTCAATCATTAAACGTCTCGCATTCATCTATAACAGTTTAAATGTTTTATTTACTTTCGTATATTTGTGATGGCGGCTAAGAAGCAGATTTGTTTATCTATAAGATCAAACCAAGCTTTACATTTCTTCTTTATTACTATTTTTAAATTTGATAACCAAACTTACACTCTTCTTCACTAAGTTAGATTTTAGGTTGAATCGTTCACAAAACAAAGCCTACTTGCTTCATAAGATTACTTAGAGTTTTTGTTTTGTGCATATTATAATATTATGATGATAAGTTTTGTAATCATTGTAAAAATATCATTCTGACAATAACTCACTTTTTGAATAATTACTTTCGTGCATAGCATTAAAGCATCTAACTGATAATCACAGTATATTTACGTGAGCAAAGTATTTAGATATTTAAATTATATCTATTCAAGGAATTGAACTGAACATTAATGAAAGTGATGCGTACTACATGTGATTCCCATTGTCAAGAAATCAATCAATACGCAGAAAACGTAAGAAAAAACGTACAATTATGACTTATCCTCACTTCTTACATTGTAAACTGATCATATCAATTTCAGTACGTTTGCTATTAAATGCCTTTAGTAAAATTACCATTAAAGAGTTCAGTCAAATTGTATTAAGTTATACTAATTAGGTCAAACAAAAGGTCGGACAAAATTAAGTATTCAAGAAACTTTGAATGCTTTACACTTTTTCATCCAATCAAATGAAGTAATACTCTTTTATTGTCTTAATAAATAGCGCAGGTCAAAGGTTGTTTAAGCTTTTTTTGGATAAGATAGATTAAAAAATGATGCTAATAACAATTTGAGATCAATTTCTCAACTTAAAAATGTCAAGTAAAAAAGATCAAATATAAATAATTACATTTTCAATAAATTTTTCTGAAAACTGATCGAAAATATCAGGACGAAAATTATTTTTTAAACGAAAATTTGTACTCAATGCTCGTGCGTTTGTAATTACGCCATCAGCATCAGTTTCTACGTCTGCAACATGTCTTTTTATATTTAAAATTGAATTATTTAACAAACTAATCATTAAAAGAAACATGAACGTAAGATTAAGCGTCAAATTTTCTAAGCGTACACTAAGCATATTTATACTGAAAGTAACTTTTTACGATTTCATCCGATAAATTTAAAAAAAACAAACAAACTTAGACTTAAATACCTACAATTTTGTAAAAATAAATTGAT